AGCACCTTTGACAGCTGCTATAGTATACTTTCTTCTGTCTTCTGAATGGAGCTCAGAGAGCCTAACACCTCAACTTGGCACACTCGCACTGCATGTCTGATAGAGAGACTAGAAGGCGAAAGATGTTGCCCAAAGTGCCTATTTTTGTACATAAGCATTGCGATGTGACCATGAAATATGAATTATATACCAGCTGGCCCATTCGTATCTCGAGTCTATGCATGAACTATTTTCAGTGATAAAAAGCAGTCCACCAAAGGCTTTGAGCAAAAGGTTGCCACCACAAGCATACCAAGTCAGGTCTTTGCTGCCTGGCATTGCCAATATTTCCGTCCTACCACAACAAGTTCCCAGACTTGCTCACCGCATTGAGAGGCATGCAAGGCACTGCCATTCACTGTTCAACACAACACGGATCATGTCGAGACGTGCTCCTGTGCGGCCATGCAAATTTGCTCGTGTTGCCTCCACAATCTCTTTGGCCAGTTGCTGTCAAGTGCCAATAAGTGTAGCTTGCTACCTCAGTACTACACAGTTCACAGTTGCGCCGTGCCCCGTACCTCTTCGCATACTTTAATACTAGAAAGACCAGCATGAGCAAGAGCAGCGCCCAATGGCACCACCTGCTACACTTTAGCAGTGCAGTGTCGTTCTGGAACAGCCCAAGCATACAATGCCTGGCTGGCTAGCTGAAAAAAGCTAAAGTTGTAGAACGAAGCACTTTAGCCAAAATTTGCCAATGTTCAGGAATGACGAGAAGATCGCGCTTGAGATGGGCTATCCAGCATTGGTATGAGTATGTGTCACTTCCACGTGTCTGAAGTTGCAACCCCTCATGGCCCTCAAAATGCCATCGCAGCTAGCAGCCAAAGCCCTTCATGAGGCTTTAAAGTTCCATCTCTGCCATCCTACAGGTATATATCCTGCACACAATTTGGAACGTTCCGAAGTGTCCTCACCTCCTGTCGTCACTCACGCTTATGCATACATGCCATACACACACTCCACGCATGTTCACTGTCATGAGACGTCCTATTGTTGCCACCACTCGCTTTGTCTGCAAAAATCTCTTCACCCTGTATCTTGTGGCATAGTATTCGTGCGCTTGAGATTGCAATCGTTCTCTTCCTCGAGCGCGTGGTTGTTGCGCTGTGGACCCTTGACTACACTTCATGCTTACAAAACGGTCTGCATTGAGCCTGGACGTACTATCTCCTTGAACCTTCATTGTCCGGATCCTTATACAGGTCATGGCCGCAGTCCTGTACTTCGAGCTCAAGCGTGGCAGGATGCGTGCCGACGAATTGCCCATCATGGTCAGCATGCCCTCGTCTTAACAGTGGCGCCACTTGAAGCTGTTCGTTTGTTCTCTGAGCATTCACTCCAGATGTAGACGTGTTAATCACGCAACAGTGGCAGCTGAACACTCTCAGATTGACCACACGCATCTGCTTCCTGTGGCATCCAGCTTCAGTCTCGATATCTTTGTGCTTAGGTGCACTCGTACGAACATGCTGGGTATGATATGAATGATGTCTTCGTGCCACGCCTTACAAAGCCTGGCTTCTACAAGATTTTTGGTCGTACAGACAACCAGATTACGCGCAGTACTGGCGAGAAGACGGACCCCGATCTGCTTAGTGAGTCATCTTGTTGCAATGATTTCCCACATGCAAATACTCATGGCGAGTGCAGAGGCAGTCCTCAACCAAGGCTCGCACATCAAATGCGCTGTTGTGTTTGGCAGGGGAAAGTTCAACATGGGTGTCGTCATCAACCCAGCACCCGAGTTCGTCTTCAACCCTGCAGACAAAGAGAAGCTCAATGAGTTCTAAAACTTGGTCTGGCGAGTGTTTCATCCTGGTGTCTCTGACGGGGTGCTAAGCAAGAGTTGCAGGCTGACAGTCAAGATAATAACCAAGTGTGCTCCTCAGCACTCGTACCTGTTCAAGGAGGTGAACTCAGTGCACAGCCAGGATTTGCACAGATGCTCATCAGACGTTCTAGATGACCATGGTTGCCTTGCCACAAAAGCCATTCATGTTACGCCTCGAGGAACGCTCGCAGCTTGCTGTGCTGCCATTGTCAATGAGTACACCAAGGAGATCGAGGCACTCTGCACTGCAGCAGACAAAGCACCCAAGGACAACCTTATCCTGCCTTCATAGTGGGCATATGAGCCAGCTAAGGATTTTGTCCACACAGTGGTGACCTGTGTGCTTGAGTACAATATTGGCGATGACAATAATATCTTCTGGTACGGCTGCTGCATGCGCTGCGCAACACAACCAAGTTTGACACATGGCAGATCCCGGACAACTGTGTGTACCAGAATCTGACCACTGGTGCACTAGTGACGTTTGTCGCTAGCCTTGCGAATGGCAAAGCTGGTTTAAAGCAGGAGCATGCTGTAGCATTCATGAACAGTATTGCCGAGAAATAAGCAAACAATTTTTTGCGCCAACTGCGGACGTATGCGAGCCAATATCGTATCACCGAGCTGTGGCACACATGAATCAGACATGTATTGATCAAGTGCATGCATACAAAGCAATGTACTGGTACAGAGAGTGTTACAGAGCAACAGATGGAAGGCGAAGAGTGCCATCAGCAGCGGCAGAGCTGGTAACAATCTGCTTAGCATAAGGCAGATTTGGAGATTACAAGATTTGATAGAGATAAGAAAACACCGCACTGCACAAACTATGACTCACCTGGTCAGCTTGCTCTCGAAGCTGCTTGGCCACAGAACCAGTTTGTACTACCCCCAGCTTTTCCTGGGTCAGC